AGTGAGCACTATTCATAACCTAAGTGCATAATGTTAAAACATCTTATGTGACAGTGTTTCCTGCTTGTAGTGGTGCGCCTCTGAAGATGATTCTTTTGAATCGAAACATGTAAGGCGAATAAAGACTAAAGTGTTGTAAATCTGTATGTCATACTGGGCTGAAAGTTATCTACTTTGTAACTGATAGTGTGACAGACCAGAATGAGACAAAACTTCTAAATCACACTTGACATCCTCACAGGGAGACCTCCTTATTCCTGGTTCCACTTTACTCGCTTCCATGGCAAATACTGACATCTGTTCTGTCTGTAACTGTCATTATATAGCTTCTGCACTGACCATGCAGAAAGAAGCCTATATTGCTGGAACGTGTTTACTGAGCGATTGCATAGCAACAGTTGCAGCATGGACTCCGTAGGAAGCCAGTTATGTGATAGCTACCACTGTTACGTGACATCACAGCTTAGCGTGGAGGGTGTTTACCGAGTCTTGCCTAGCAACGGAGGGGTTGGAGTATGTGACATCACTCATGGAAACACAGAGGTCACGTGACCCCTACTTGCTGCTGCGCAATCCAAGCATTCATAGAGCTGTCACCTAGCAATGTGCCGATACAATCCATAACTCTCCCATTGTGCGTGTCCCAAGGCCTCTGTAGCTCAACAGTTCCTAAATAGAGCAAATATGCCATAATATATTTATGTACATAATTTCCACTGTGGAGGTTCTCACACATTGAAGTTGTCAACATAATTTACAAGTTTTAAACATTCAAATGTTTGCAATTTTTTAAACACAAAAATTGTTATTCAGGTTTCTAAGTACGCATAATGATTTATTCCTGTTAGTTAGCCATCCCAAATGCAACTTGCTATTCAAAACCTTTAAATGTTTTAAATGTTAAAATCCCTTCTACATCACTGTGTATGCACACTATGTTTTGGCCAATAATGGTCATCATCAGGCATGCATCATGATTTACCTCAATACTAAGTCACATATGGGTAGTTGCTATGATTCATTAGTCATCTAGATAAAATGGAAACTAAACATTAATTCCCTGTAGTACACATACTGTTTTACATTCAGCAAAAATATGACTTCAAAAATATTGAATATTTTTTGACAGACCCCCACATTTCTTGTGAAGACCCTACACTAAGTGTTGCCAGGGTTGCTAGAATAAGAAATCACTGATGTTTCAACCAATTTTACCTAAGTAAAATGAACAATCCTGTCTGAGGTCTCTAGAGGCACCTAGAACAATGCAGTGCCAATCATAAACTGATTTGAACACATTTTCTAGAATTTCAGGTCCCAATTCAGACTCCTTGGCAGACAGAAGCCCTGAAACAGTATAACACAAATAATATGATCAGTATCAAGAATAAGAAAACTTATTCTCTAAAGGCTCGTCAGTGGCCGTGTAATTATAATATATTTACTTTGCACAATGTCAATTATTTGAGTACATCTGACAGCTCTCCCTCTCTTTCACATAAACACTTTCGAGAGTTGGCTCTACTTCCATTTTCAGGTGAATTTTTTTTATTGTTTACATTGTTTAGATGAATATGAATGGTCAGTGGCATACTGTTTCATATTGTAAGGGTTGAATCTTGTTCCCTGCAAGTAACCTCAAAAACAAGACTAAGGAAAAATCTGCCATTTTGACAGTAAGTCACAAGAAAATGGAAGCAGAACCAATTCCTGTATGCCATGTATATAAAACCTGCTCACAGAAGAAACAGTGTAGTGTAGTTAGAAGACTATAATTACCAGAACTGGTTAGGTTAAAATATGTTCTCAAACCAATAACACCAGTAAAGGAATCATTACTAAATAATATCTTTTATAAGCTGAGTTTAATCTATGAGCACAATTGCTTGTCAAGGTTCAGTCAAATAAATGAAAATTTGTAGCGAGAAGAATATTTTACTTGTCAGTAATGCAAATTAAAGCAAAAAATTCCAAGTAATTTTTAGTATCAAGAGACAGGCCTGTGATGGTTAATGCAGCCATTGTTCCCCCACCTGAAGATCCAACTTTGGTTTTCTTGAGAATTTCATTACACTTTGCTTCAGGTGCAACTCTGGGCGGAGCAGTTCTTGCTTTATCAGGCACTTCCCAGAAACTCAAACACTGCCGCTTCAGCTCGGCTTGCTGGGGCTCTACGAGATTTGTGTCCTTACAGAAAGCAGCTACCTTCACTAGGTTCACGACTTGCCGCTCTCCCAGGCTATAAAGATTGACATAACATAAACTGAAATGCTTCAATATCAAAGCCATTTTATATGTATTACTAAATTTGCAGTACACAATACTGATAGCATTAACTGACAGAACACAGTGGTAATGGGTAATTAACACATTTGTCCTAATACTACACCTGTTTCATAGGCGATGGTAACAGGTATTCATGACCTTGAACACCTGAAATTCTTCTTAAGTAGCCTTTCATTCACACTTTCATTTATGTGTGGATGCCAAGCAAAAAACTAACTTCTTTTTTCACATTACATTACATTACATTACACTGCATTTCCTGGATCCATAGTTAATCAAAATCACTGTAGGATGTGGAATATGTCATAAAAACATAGGTGCATACATACATACAATACAACTGAAGTTTTCATATAAGAAAACCAAAGGAAACACAGTGGTTACATACGCATAAGGCTATTCAAAAATACAGCCACATATATGTGTGGGGCTATCCAAAAGTTTCCGGAATTTGAATTTTGCGCGCGAATGGTTATGAGTACATTGAAATACCGCTAGGTGTCTCCTCACACATCCTTCTTGAATCAGTGTGGCAAGCGGCGTCGAGTTGAGCGGTTGGGTTTATTGTTGGTGAACATATTTCCATTGTTGTGTTTCCGTGAGTTTGCGGTTTTGCGATGGCTGACCTGAGAGAGCAGCGTGTCTGTATAAAGTTTTGTTTCTAACTTGGTAAAACCACTGCAGAAACGTACCAAATGTTGAAGCAAGCTTTTGGTGAAAACAGTTTAGGCCAGACACAAACTTACGACTGGTATAAGCGTTTTAAAAATGGCTGAACATCGACTGATGATGACGATCATTCGGGATGGCTGTCAACAGGCAAAACACCAGAAAATGTCACGAAAGTTAGGGATCTGATTCTGCAAGATTGTAGACTGACCATCCAAGACCTCTGTAACACCTTGGGACTAAGTTATGGTACATATCAACGAATTTTGTCAGAGGAACTGAACATGAAGAGGATTGCAGCGAAGTTTGTGCCACAACTGCTGCAAAATGAACAGAAGCAGCATCGCTTGGAAGTCTGCAGGGAACTTCAGCAACAGCTTCAAGAGGATCCAAACTTTCTTTCGAAGGTTGTCACTGGTGACGAAAGTTGGGTTCATGGCTACGACCCTGAAAGCAAGCAGCAATCGTCACAATGGAAGAGCCCTTCTTCACCTCGGCCAAAAAAAGCTCGACAAGTCAAGAGCAACGTTAAGTCCATGTTGATCTGTTTTTTTGATATTGACGGGATTGTTCATAAGGAGTTTGTCCCTCCTGGTCAGACAGTCAATAAAGAGTTCTATCGCGATGTTCTAAGGCGTTTGAGGGAGGACATGAGGAGAAAACGTCCAGAGAAGTGGCGCACGAATGACTGGGTACTCCACCATGACAACGCATGACCGCATACGGCTTACATGGTGCAGGAATTTTTGGCTAAAAACAAGATGGCAGTTGTTCCCCACCCACCGTACTCGCCAGACTTAGCTCCATGCGACTTCTTTCTCTTCCCCAAGATGAAAATCAAGTTGAAGGGGCGAAGATTTGATACAGTTGAGGAAATTCAAGTGGAAACGCAGACAGTACTAAACACCTAATAAAGAAAGACTTCCAAGATGCATTTGAAAAGTGGCAGAAACACTGGGATCGGTGTATGCACTCCCAAGGGGACTACTTTGAAGGTGATGGTGCAGAATAAGATCTAGGTAAGATGTAATAGTTTTTATTGATATATTTTGGGAACTTTTGGATTGCACCACGTACATCAGTACTGTAAACTTATGCTATTTACTCAACCTTGAAATGGATAAGTAATTTTTTAGGCAATAAATAATCGTCAACAGAATACTTGTAGAATGAATATGTTTAAATATAGTTTTAATTCTACTTTAATTAGTACTTTTCCAGTCATAAGACTTTCAGGATCAGATGGCAGATTACTGAAAATTTTGATCCCAGCATAATATGCGCTTTCCTGAAAGCATGAGAGGTTAGCAGTTGGTTTAGGAAGATAGTGCTTCCATCTTGTGTTAACACTGTGTACATCTGCCTTGGTCTGAAAATGTTTCTTATTTGTAATGAAGTTTTTAATGAAAATATACATACACATGGAAAAGTTAAGAGCTCTAGTCTCTTAAACAGATCTCTACAAAAATTATGGTACTTGATGCCCATCATGATTCTGACAATCTTCTTCAGCAATGTAAATACTGTCTTGCTGTCAGATGAATTACTCCGAAAAAATTATTCCAGACTTCATTAAAGAGTTAAATTAAGCAAAATAAACTGATTTCAGAGTGTCAGTGTTGCTGATATGCAACACAGATCTAACTGCATAATGTGCTCCACTTAGCTTTGGAGCCAACGGATTAATGTGGCTTTTTCAGTTTAAATTATTATTAATTTGTAACCAATGGAATCTTGTCTTCACTGCCTCTTCTATATATTTATCATTATATCCAATGTTTAATGGATATTGTGGCAATTTTTCTGTTATAAATTTTATTACATTTGTTTTATCTAGATTCAGGGACAGCTTGTTTGCAGAAAACCATTTACTTGTTCAAGAGAGAACTTCAACAGGATGAAGAATTCATCTAAATTTTTGCTAGAAATTATGATACTAGTGTCATCAGCAAATATTATGGGTACTGATGAGGTGTTTAGTGGAGAAGGTAGGTCATTTATATAGATTATGAAATGCAAAGGCCCTAAAATTGACCCCTGTGGAAATTCATGCTTTATTGCTTCCCAGTTTGAGTAGGTACTTTGGGTACTTGTAGGTACTTGATGATTTTATTTCAATCTTTTGTTTTCTATGTGTTTGGTAGGATCTCAACCAACCTGCTGTTCCCCTTGAATGCCAAAAAAAAAAAAAAGTAATTTAGTCAATAAAATTTTCTGATTTACACAGTCAAAAGCTTTTGCCAAATCACAGAATACTGCATGATCATGCATTTTTTGATTAACAGATTTTAATATACTGCCCATTAGCTTAAAAACTGCATTTTCTGTAGACATTCCTTTCCTGAAGCCAAACTGTTTTGGGACTACTATATTATTTGTCTACAAATAATGGCTTAACCTAGAGTACATAATTTTCTCAAGTACTTGGTGAAAGTAGTTAATAGTGGAACTGGCCTGTAGTTTGACATACTTGTTTTGTCTCCTTTTTGTACAGTGATCCCATTACAGAAATCTTAAGACAATCAGAACAATCCCTCTAAATAATGAGTGATTACAAAAGAAAGTTCATGGGTGGCTGATTAGAGATGAGCACACTTTTAAAATTTCACTTGTTATTTCTTCATAACCTGATGAGTTTTTTACTTTGTGGGAATGAATTATACTTTTCATCTGTTTCAATGATCTCAATACCAGTGATTATTTTTTGAAAATTCCTCTTTTAAAAATGAAATGACATCAGCTCTCACTTCCTGATGCAAGTTTAGATTTTCAGTAACTGTCAGAAAAATAATATTAAAAGAAACAACGATTACTTCTGGGTCCTTCACTTCATCATCATTTATAAGAAGAGATGGTATCTGTTCACTCAGATGTAATTTTCATGTTTCATTATATTCAAAGTTGCTTTTATCAGATTATCCAATTTTGCTATAAGCGCACAGTAATACTGGCTTTTAGCCTCTCTTATAACTCTGCTCAAGATTTTGCAATACCTAATGTAATATGTTCTCATGCGGGAATTATATATATAATTTGTATCGTATTTGCGCTATGCAGGACACCCCCTCCCCTGCCAGCAGTGATGTAACAGCATCGGAGCGCTGTCGCTGCTATGGTAACAGGCCAGTCAACACTCCGCCCCTTCCCCCACGGTGACATAACAGCACTTCCCATTGTGATGTAACAGGGGACACTGCTGTAACACGAGGCAACAGGGAATGGCACAGAAAGCCGGCTGAGCAGTATGTGACGAGAGTGTGTGTGATCAGGAGTGACACAGTGTGGATCATGAAGTCGCCGAGTGCAGCTGAAGTCTAGCAGTCGCCGAGAACAGTGGAAGGAATTGTGATACTGCCGATGGCAGTAATTGTGTAATTGTGAACTGTATGAATGTAAGAGCGAGTGGAATAAATTCACTAGATCCAAGACAGCATGAAGCTATTTGTCATGTTATACACCCAACACATGACAATTTGGTGTCAGAAGTGCTTTATGAACTTGAACACGCCTCAACAAATAATTGAATTTATGAGTGCAATGAGAAATGGATTCACAGCAGATGATGGAACTCCTGCTGAAGAAAATCACAGCTGGCCAAGAAAAAAAAAACGTCATGCTGGCAAAATTAGACACCAACCAAGAAAAGGCGGTGGCCGATAGGAAGGCCGACAAGGAAGAAATGGAGGCCGATATAAAAGCCTGGCAAGAAAAGATTGCTGCAGAAATGGAAGCGATCAAAGCAAGGACGAGAGCCATGCGAGAAAATATGGGCCCCAGCCACAAGGAGACGGTTGCCGAAACCAAACCAGAAAGAGACATGGAGACGATGGCCTGGCAAGAAATGACAGAGGTGCATCTAGAAGAAGAGACGATGGCCTGCCAAGAGATGGAGGCACATCTAGAAGAGAGCCGACCTCAGTGGACATGAAACCTGAGGCGGCAGAATGACGAGAGGTCCCAGTAGAAGACGCCAAAATAATGCCGGTTGGAGAACCGAAGAAGAAAAGGCGTAGGGACCAAAACCAGTGAAATATGAAGAAACATACCCAGGGAAAGGATGGGTGCCGAAGAAGTCTGGCTGCCACCCGCAGAGGGACGAGCCGCCGTGTGGAAGTGGCACAGCAGAAAAAAACTAGCAGTAAGGTGGTCTGCCATGCAACAGCGGCATGGCACAAAAGAAACATTTTCAGGAAATATTGGACCCAAGGAAAGTGTGGACCACGACACAAATTTGCTGCCAACAGAAATATGCTGAACAAGAAACCTGGAAAGGAAGAACAGGAATAAAAAACAAAGGTGGTAGATGGCCGCTATGCCAGAAGAAAAAGGTGCTAACCAAGGACGCCATCAGAGGGTGTAGATTAGGACAGCGATCGCACCTAGGAATGAGAAGAACTCATAAGAAGACCTTCTACGAGATTGTCAGCATGAAGATCGGAAAGTGAATAATCAGAGCTTCTGCTGGCCTACGACAAGACAAGGATTGGACCTTGTGGAGGGGTCGACCCCCTCCAAAATGGAAAAAGATACTTCAAGCAGAGGAGGAGCCAGTAACGTAGAAGTACCAGCCTCCCCAGCGAGAATGAATGTGCGATGGATGAAAGTGATGAGTGAATGTAAAACGACAGGATCGACAAATGCTGGACCATGGAATTGTTCGGGACAAACAATCTTAAGAAGGGAGCGGATGTAACAGCCGGAGAATAGTCACTGCAAGAGGAGTAGCCAGACAAAAAGATGTTGCAAGAACAGCCTTCAAAGAAAGGGAACGGGGATGCACCGTCAGGCTACTTGGGATGAACAGCCTAAAGGAGGGAGCAGTGTGACATATTTGCGCTATGCAGGACACCTCTTCCCCCGCCAGTGGTGATGTAACAGCATCAGAGCACTATTGCTGCTATGGTAACAGGCCAGTCAACACTCTGCCCCCTCCCCCACGGTGACGTAACAGCATTTCCCACTGTGACATACCAGGGGACACTGCTGTAACACAAGGCAACAAGGAACAGTATAAAAAGCTGGCTGAGCAGCATGTGACGACAGTGTGATCAGGAGTGACACAGTGTGGATCATGAAGTCGCCGAGTGCAGTTGAAGTCTAGCAGTCGCCGAGAGCAATGGAAGGATTTGTGATACTGCCAATGGCAGTAATTGTGTAATTGTGAACTGTATGATAGTAAGAGCGAGAGGAATAAATTCGGTAGATCCAAGACAGCGTGAAGTTATTTGTCGCATTATACACCCAACACGTGACAATATATACATATATATACAGAGAGTCCCAGGAGCAATGGACCAAACTTCGGGAGGGTTTTCCTTATGTTAAAGTATGCCGATATAACCCGAAACACCTATGTCCAAAGTTGAACGGTTACGGAGATAATGGCCAAAGAAGTGTCAAACTTTGACCGGCGTTGCACACTTGTTGATTACAAAATACATATTAAAACTGGCAGGAATATGTGGATTCTGTAATGTTAATAATGTATGTAACATCAAACTAACTTGTGAGTGACATGAAGCCATAAAATTGAAGTACAAAATACTTGCTCGCCATGTCATAATTGTCCTTAGGGTTTCCAAGCACTATACATGACACATGAATGGCAAGCGCTGACGTAACGTACTGACTGCGCGTTCTGATAAAGCCAACNATATATATATATATATATACAGTCAACTCTCGATTATCCGGGGGCGGATTAACCAGTTTGCGGCTTAACCGAGGCTACTAAGGCTTTTTTGAGGCTCATATGTTGTTTAATATTCATTCACTTTTGTTTCACATGGTGAGTTGTAACACTATTTTCACACTAGTGTGAACAGAGCTCTGCATTCTTTGGTCCCGTTATGCTAACACAATGTTCTAGGGTAGGGGTGAAAGAATGCAAGGATTTGTAGAAAGTTTCAAGGACAGATACACCGCCCCAGTTGGTCTCTTTGTATCGATTTTCAAGCGCGTTAGCAAAATGTCAGGGTGTAAAAGGAAGCGTGTTGTGTTAAGTATTCAACAGAAACTCGTGTGAGCCGGGCTTCGAAATGTTAAGCAGTGACAAAACCGTAAGTTCAGTGGGGGTGCAGCCAGAAGAGCAGGAATAAGTGAGAATGAGGAAGAGGTGGACAGTGTTGCCAGTAAGAAAATATCACATGGTACTGCTCTTAATCATTTGGAATCCTTACTAGACTATCTTGAGAGTGAAGAGAACAGATTATTAAGTGACAAGCTAATATTACATAGGCTTCGTACGGATATCCGTAAAAAGGAAAATGCTGCGATAAAGCAAATGACAATATTAATTTTTTTTAAGTGTTAAGTGTGAATATTCGTAAAAAGTGTTGGATATTGTTGAACACTGTGATTGAAATAACTAATTCACACTTCAGTATAATGTAAAAAAAAGTATTAAATAGGCCATGAGATGACACAAAAATGAGGTTGAGTAAATTTAAATACAGGTAGGCCTATAGTATTATGAAGGTACAGTATTACAGTACTACTTGTAATAACATTTGTCTTAACCAGGTTTTCGATTGATCGTGATTTCCATGCCCACCATTATCCCGGATAATCGAGAGTTGACTGTGTATATATATATATACACACACACACATATACAGACTCCTTTTATGTTTCCAAGATGACACAATTAAGACATATTTCAGAAAGATTGATGGTAATATGGTATGTAGTGTGCATGATGAACCAGGAAACAAGATCTAGGCATAGATGGTTTAATTGTTCTTCTGCACCCTCACTGACAATGTGGACATTATGTTATCTTATAACCATGTCGAGGTGCTTTCAGGTAGGAAGAAGACAATGCCCTGGGTCTGAGCAATGAGGTTCCTTCTTCAGGGCTTAATGGGCCTTGCTTGGATGAGGGACAGTCTTTATGCAGAGTCACTGGATCACAGCTTAATATTGATGTAATAATGTATCTTATTTATTTAACGGCACTACACAGGTTACACAAAATAACTCACATTTGCTGATACACTTTTTGGCACGTACTGTACACAACCTTGATATTCACAACACTACTCTGGTGGTGTATATGATATGTCAGTCTCCCAGCCTGTGCATCTGTTTCTTACTTCATGCCTGGTGCTGTGGTTACTCGTCTCTTAACAGTCTGTTTTCGTTGTTCGGGATCAATCCTTTAAATACTGTGGGATGACAAAACATTCTGGAACCTTCTATTTCCAGATTATTCTCCAAGTTTTTTCATTGCTCTACTAATTGAGACCATTCTGGAAGTTTCTTTTAATCAGATTGGTGGGGGTGAGTAGGCCGTTCATGTTACCACACTGGCTATCATGGACCTTCCTAGTAGCCTTTATTTAAACATTTCTTGCTGAAAATTCTTAAAATGGTTAATGGAAAACTGGACATAAGTCACATTTAGCATAAGATTGGTTTTAAATAATAAGCATTAATATTTAAGAATTAGGCTGGTAGGTAATGATCAGTTACAAAGGGATGTTAATGCTGGTAGGTAATGATCAGTTACAATGGGATGTTAATTTTAAAGTACAACTCACAAAACTAGGTTATGAAAATGTGAACCTGATTCAATTTAACTAGGAAGCAAAGCATATTTTCTTTTAAATCATGAAGATAAATTTACATAAAATTCAATTTTAAGGTCTGAGTAATGTTCAGCTTACCTGTTATTTGAATGAACTATATAGTTAAAGAAATTGTGATCAGAGGTTAAAACTTCAAGAGGAACCACTTCCACAATATCCTTATTTGAAGTTGAACCAAATTTGCACAACTGCTCATTAACATGATACATGTAGTCAGCAATAATATTACAGTCTTCTCGTTTCCACTGGCATATTATGTACCTAGAATAGAATACACCATGATGTTATTACAATTCTTAGCGGCCTCCGTAGTCTAGAGGTAACGTACGCCCCTCATGACTCGTGGTACGCGGGTTCAAGCCCGGCGGAGGTCATCGAATTTTTAAGGGCAGAAAAATTCAGGGAACAAGTCCTCCAGGAGGGACTTTCAGCCGTGGGTCCCGTGTCGTAGCTTTACGGCACGTAAAAGAACCTCATATCTCCAAAGGAGGTCACTGAGCCAAATTCAAGGATGTTTCCCGCCCAACAAGTAGTCTCTAACACCTCTAATAGATCGGGGAAGCATTATAGATACCGCCAAGCTAGTGGAGGCCGAACTCGCCAGCTCGGTCGGGACTGATGGTACGCACCACTATCGGTAGGATATAGAGACTGGTAGAATATCATAGAGGGAAGCACAATGGACCAATACTGGTCTAAGTGCATGGGGAAACCCACCCTCTCCAATAACTAACTAACTATTACAATTCTTACCATCATAGAAGAGCACTTTGCTATTTATTGTTTCAGAATATGAAATAAAACAACCAGAAAGAAAGAAAAGAGACAAGAAGGTAAGAACAAATACTTACATAAAAACACAGTTCAAAAATAAGACATATAGTACATGGCAATAATGACATACTTCACATTTCAGATCACAAACAAGAATAATTCCACCTCCAAAACTCCAAAGACAATAACCTGCATCATGGCATAATAAGCACACACAAGAAAAACCACATCTGCATCTACAAATTGAGAAAATAACCTAAAATGAAACAAATATACATACAAAAATAACAAAACTCTTATAATAACAAGGATTCAGAATTCAGTAACAATTTTAATATCTAACTCTGTAACATGGACATACATATATGGCAGTATTACACACCAATATATCAAATTGACAATGCAAACTATACCCACTGTAAACACTGGCCAATGAGAGGAGTGAGCAGTGCAGCCAGTAGCAAAAGCACATACCTGATGATGGCTGAAAGGCCAAAACATGTAGTAGATAATTAACGTATAGTATGTCTACACAGAAAGTGTGCCAATGGAAATAAATACAGCTGGATAAAGAGACAGCACGCAAACTCGAACTTTTGAAGAAAATTTATGCCACATGGTAGTGTGTCAACATATAGGGCCAAAGCATGTAAAATTAAGTAAGACTGTGATATCCTATACAATAAGAGTAATTAGTTCAGACAAATAAAAAACCTCCTTTTTCTGAAACCAAAACTATGGCCAATAAGAATTATTATTCTCTTAGAATTAAATAAATTTTGTTAATAGTGGTGGAGATGACTTTCTTTGGGAGCTGCACTAAAACAGCAGTCTAGTAGCAAATTTTATCAAATTCACATTTAAACACATAACTCTTCAAATTCTACAAATTTAAACTTCCAATCACAATCTTACTTCACTGAAAATGTAAGATGCGACAGTAAAATGTGCCAGTTTCTTGGGTGCTATTTGGGGGTGGGGGTTGTGATGAGGTCAGATGACAAGAAAACAATTTCACTGTAAAACCAATATAATAACATAATTTACTGGATCATATTCATTTTTAAATATAACATTTTTATGTGCTCTCCATGATGTGATGGATACTAGAAATCTCTATTGGAAATTCTCCGTGAATCTCTACAATAATGTTGCATCAACTACTTTCATCCCCTCAGCAATATGCTCCTTCAACTCAATAATGGTGACAGGTTTGTTGACATAAACTTTAGATTTTAAATATCTCCACAGGAAGCTAGACACTGTCAGATCTGGAGACCGTGATGGCTGGTCATTGTCATCTCCTATCCCTATGTCTCAGCTACCAGCTTCTAAGAGCAACAGCTCACAAGGCCTGAACTGTGTTCTCTGACTGCTCACTAACTCACTAGCCAACTCTTCACTTCCCTGCACTAACACAAAGGCTAGTGGCCATCTCACATCAACCTTCTCCTCTTCTGATGGATTCCAACTCAACTGTCCTAGTTATAGCACCTTGGCAAAGACATGTAGAAAACAGTGCTCCTCATTGTTGTAGTTCAATCCCTTCACAGGAACACATTTGTTTGCAAAGTTGTTACTCAGCAATGGCTCTTATATATTTGCTTATCTCATGGTGGTTGCCCAGCAACCAGTCTACATGCTACAGTATAAATAAACAAAATACATCCATCTCTATTCACCACTAATGTTAATGCATACTGTTCATGAGTTCATGAGGAGCTAACAGTCACTCAACTAATCAAGAAATCCACTGGCTATTATGGAACCTTAAGGTTTAGTACCATGTTAACCAATGTCCATTAATGATCTGTCCTGAAGAGTCCAATCCTCATCCTCACATCATATTCTGTAAACAATCACTGTAATATTATCTGCATGTAGGCTTCAGCTAAGGTCACATCTTTTTATTTGTATATGATCTTATTTTCTAACATTATCATAATTAATTTTGGACCTTTCACGAAATTACTGATGACTGATACTAAAGAATGCTAAGAGTACAGCAACAAGAGAGATTCTCTTAAATTCTTTATAAAGTAATGGCTGTATCCACATTGCTATATGGGTTAGAATGCTGGAATCCAACAACCGCAAAGCCAAAGCGAAGCAATTTAACTAAGTTCCCTAAGAGCTCGTACAAGTTATAGGAGAACAGATCACATCAAAGAACAAAGCTCAGACAACAACTAAACATATTTGCCATCCTTGACAAAATAGTTAATATCAGACAAATTAGTCCCACCACCTCGAATGAATGAAGAAAGTAAATTTGTTAAAATTCTACCAGTATACACTTAAAAGTATAAGAAGCACACTTTACAAAACATCAAAATATTCTGATTTTAACCTTGGAGTACAAACACATTGGTAAGACTAATTGATACACACAACAGATCACTGAAGGTCGCAGTGCAAATTCCGGATTATTATGGCCCACCTCTCATACAAGATTAATTAATTACTGTAGATGATGGTGATACTACAGTACCACAAATGGTGAGTTGTAGAAAAACATGTTCCTTAAATAGATGTTTTTTTCTGATAGTCTTCAGAGCTGCTGTAAAGTTTCTAAATACACAGATGCATTCATTGTTGTCCTTTGCATGAATTCAACAAACAAAATCACCTGACAGTCATCAATGCCATCATCTTACCAGCTAAACTTCCTGCAAGAGTATAATCTTCTCAGTTACACTTACAGTTTGGTAGAAGTTTGTGCACATTACAGAGGAATGTATTGCCTTCATCGTCTTCTGGTTTCTTGTTTGGCTTACTCTTCAACCTTGAAGACAGAGATCATTTGTCCCTCAGGAAAGTCAGGAGACTTCTACTGAACTACTTGATGTTACAACTTAGGAGACTACTCTTCAAAGTTACTGCTGTGAGAACCTCAAATCCAACACTGAACTTTCTGTTTTCCGGTTTCCATTTCATAGATATTTGTTTTCATGGTGTACTGAAGTCTCATCAATATGCTCAAGGAAAGATGAATCTTTGATTGACTACTGCTAAAGAAAGGAAATAATGCACATCATTCTCCGAGTGGTGTGATTATCTGTTAATACTATGGCAACTCAGCAGCTCGACATGAACAATGGAGGAAATACCTGAAAGTGGGAGACAATATTTTTTTTATATCATGAACTGCTACTCTTCTTTCTTGCAAAACAGCACTGTTGATTTCTCCAGGGCTTCCATTTGCTGGTCTTCCAATTCCCATAACACCACTTGTGTCATGCCTTGCATCCAAAAACCTTCCATATCATGCTGACACATTTTATTGACTTAAAAATGTTCTTCCCGTGAAGCCTAACTAGTTACTGAAAAATCCCTTTATTGGAAACACTTTCATGTTTAAAAATCAAACCAAAGCAAGCATTTCATATGGAAATGATATGTATAGGAGGGCAGTCATGTTTGGCTAAGAGTACACCAAGTCACACATTTACAGCTGGTCCACTTCAGTGTTAACACACATGGCTCTTATACTAGCAGCAAAATGACTGCACTCAGTGCAATGCTTATGAAAGTAATTCTTATCTTTGAATGGTCATCATATAGTCATACATATATGGATATTACATACTTACTTACTTACTTACTTACTTACTTACTCATGGAGCTAAGCCCTTCTTGAGGAGCCACCAATTCTGCAGCTACTCAAGAATTTCCCAGCATTTTATGGAACCCAAAAGTTCATCACCGTGTTCACAAGAGCCTTCCACTGGTCCCTATCCTGAGCCAGATATATCCAATCCATACCATCCCATCCTATCTCTCTAAGATCCACTCTAATATTGTCCACCCACTGATGCCTTGGTCTTCCCTGAGGTCTCTTTCCTTCTGGCTTTCCCACCGATATCCTATACGCATTTCTCGTCTCCCCCATTCGTGCTACATGACCTGCCCAGCAAGGAATCAGTCCAGGTCCGAGGCTTTGTGTTCATGTTCGTAACAAACTGAGTTTTTTATGGTGAGGAGTTGTTAGCCCCACGCCCAACCCCCAAGCTGGAGGGCCACCCCTTGTCAGCTGTCCATGACTGCTACATACACACACATTAACACTGGTTAAAATTATCCAAGGAGATACAAAGGGAGAAACTAGTTGATTAATCTGTATGTCATATAAACACAGTGCATACATTTCAAAGGCTATGTAATATCAAAAGATTTGTGCAAATGATTACGAATAATGAGTCCACAGGAGGAAGATTTGGGGGAAAGGAGTTGTAGCTCAATTACAGTGAATAAAGAGCCATGATGTTATCAGCAAAGTGACTAGTAGGCTAGAAAGACTGTAGGCATCATTCAATTCATGGCATACACAGAGATCTCTCTCTTTGCAACCATATCCAGATAGATGCTGGGGCCCACTTGTCCACAGGGTAACAGGGCCTCTTCCTCAGGCAATGGAATTGCCAGAGCATAAACCTGACCACTGATTTTCATGTAGTTTCAATGTTTAGAATACATGGAGTTTTATACGCACATTCCCAGAATGCCCTGATGGTACAGTGATAGAAACAAGAGCAACTATAACTTAGAACAGAATCTTCCTGCAAGGACTTGAATTTAATTCCCAAATTAATTAACAAAACTCCATCAAGTGCAGAGTTTTCCAGCATTCAGTAATGAGAGCAGTATGATTATGTACTATAATTTAATGTATAAAAAAACTACAGCTAGAACATCCAGTTGTACATCTGAGATTTGATATGTATACCTCCTAATTAAATACAAGACTTATTACTGTTAAGGAAGGCAATAAAATTATGTACTGCTATGTGAGAAACATGTGGATCTAAAATTCAGGAATAATTATTCAATGAAAAATAATTAAAATTTTACATCTGCTGGTATACCTGTTCTAAGATCAATTAATTACCTTTCAGAATTCGCTGGACGACTTGTATTAGGTTTGTGGATACTAATCCTCTGAAAGGATTTGTACATTAGGTACACCAATCCAACACTAAATGGGGTGAACAGGTCAAACAGTTTGCATACAAAGTGACCGCCTGAAACAAAAATTTCATAATACTTAATTAAAAAACAGCAACAGATATATTCAGTTATTCAGTATTAGAGGGGGTGGGTTTCCCCATGCACCATGACTAGTAGTCTATTGTACATCCCCTTTAATTTCTACTGTCGCCATACCCTACCGGTACTGGTGCTTGCTATCTCCCCTTTCTGCCAGCGAGGTCGGCCCTCTTCTGGCAGTGGTACCTGATAACTTCCCCATCTACCAGAGACATTGGAAACTACTTGGGCAGGAAACTTTTTGCCTGATTTTGCTCAGAGGTCTCCTAAAGACATGAGGATCTCTTACGTGCCGTAAATCTACAACACGGGACCCACGGCTTAAAGTCCCTCCCAGAGGACTTGTTCTCTGAATTTTTCCGCCCTTAAAAATTCCACGACCTCCGCCGGGTTTGAACCCACGTACCTTGAGTCATGAGGTGGGAACGTTACCCCTAGACTACGGAGGCCTCTAACAACAGATATAAGTGAAATATAACTGTATTGTACAGCCTTGTTGACTGGAATTGAGTTTCGTGGCTGGAAATATTAAGGGTTTCATTTGTAAAGAATGACTGAAACAACAATGGCAACAATCATTATGATGATGGTGGATCTACTGAACCAAGCACAATGACTTTGTCATGTAATGTAGTGTCTATTAACCAGACACGATCAAAATGTTTACATTCTGTAAACTTTTGTCCAGAATTAGTATATACTTATGCACACAATTCCTGGCAGAGACACTGATTTTTTCTTCAGCACTACATCCAGAACAGCATCGGGTAATCAGCTCTTCCCACAGGCATCAAGAAATTAAAACAATTAAGTCGACCTACTTTTCTTTAGGTCAGTGAGATCTCTGAGACATTATGTTAAACCACTTTCATGACATGCTGCTGGGTATACCACTGTCACATCTTCATCTTTCTTTTTACCTTTCCTTTATCATCAATAATTCACTTCCTTTCAATAAAAACATTTGTTGCTTTGTGCCTACCACTACTACTGATACTACTGCTGCTACTACCCACTGCTACTACCATAACTACCACCATCACTACCTCTGGTACTGCTGCTGTACTGCTACTGCTATCATTACCACTACCACAAACACTGCTATTGGTGCTGACACTGTGCTACTGCTACTGCTGCTACTACTACTACTACCACCACCACTGCTACTCTACGACAAGTATTACTGTCATTAATGTTCAGTATCAGTGTTTCTGGTGGTGGTGCTGCTATCATCATCATCACTCTTATTTAAAATTAATAATAATAAGTCTCATCAATCAGGGTACTTGCTAACCAGTAAATATGAAGTCTGGTAGTAAGGTTGTTATCCTTTGTGACTCTGAACAACATTTCCACCAACACAACAGCAAAGACCATTCTTCTGTTACTTGGTTGAGCCTCAGCACAACAAATCAAACATTTGTAAAAAAGAAGTTACATGAATTATTCAATATATGTTTACCTGTTCTCACAATTAATAGGGCTACCAGGAACTGGCACAGGTACAGCTGTTTTGACAATATCTCCTGGATGTTTTCTTGTCCCTCCACTGAGAAGCCCTGTGGAACAGATTTTAGTTATAGAATAACATGTGCAGTTTGTTTTGTAAAATGATTACAGATATGTTCCACAGATTCAATTCTGTAATGGAAGATTTCTTTATGAACATCAAATTAATAAATAATTTCTTATTAAAATTCTGAACTCATATTCTGAGTCATAGTGACCATTTAAGCCAGAGTTTTTGTAAAAGAGCACGGGAAGCAAGAAGCTTTCTTTCGGTAGATTTTCTTTCACTGAACATAGATCATAGGCTTGAAAACAAGAGTCACTGGGGTTTAAACATTAAAGTCATAAGAGTCCTACCATTTCTCCCCAGTAATAAGACATTTCTTTGGCACAAAGTACTTTTCCAGTATTAGTAAGGACAAACAGTTATCCACTGCATGATCGCAAGATTCCAATTGCCAGTATTTTACAGATTTCATACTGAAGCAATGAGTTAGTCAGGATTCCTTCAATCATTTTCAGAACAATCTGATACAAGAGTACCCAAAATTAAAGTGTTCAGTACACAAACTTACACCATTTGTTACCACACATTTGCATCAAGCTGAAGCTTAACATAGCAGTGCCACAAATTTGATGTCTGTTTAGCCTATCCATATTTTACAAGCAAAGAGGGGTATCATGGTAGTGAGCTGTCCTGCATATGATACGCGAAGGAGGACTCACATCATGATCTACAATTTTTTGTAGTATCATAAGCTTCCCAATGATGGTTCGGGATATTGATACATAGGCTAATAAAAATATAAATATGTAACAGTCGTAGCAGAAAAGGAAACAAGAGAAAGCATATGAGACAGGGTAACAATACTAATATAATATAAATTTAATAATATACAGAATTACAATATGTCAAAATGAAAGTACAGGACAAGCAGTCATGAAAAATAAAAAAATTAAAATAGAAATGCGGAACATGCATATAAAGCCAACAGGGGCTGATGAAGAACTACTTTCAGCTTATGCGAGTAAAGCTGCCAATGAAATGGCAAGCAATAACAGCTCATGACATGAAAAAATACAACATAAATTCTTGGAATCAAACCCAATTTAACTAACGTGCCTCTATACACTGGCCTAGCAATGAGCAATACACACCAAGTCACAACAGACTTTAACAGGCCTTTCAGTGTAAGTCGCAAAAATAATTCATGCAATAAACATAATAAATTTCATAACAAGCTTATTTTTAGCAGTGAGGAGTTGTTAGTCCCATGCCCAAACCCCAAGCCAGAGGACCACCCCTCCTCTGCTGTCTGTGACTACTTATTCAATATATTCACAGCCACCCTCCATATCTGGAGGCCATCTCCTCCACCCATAACCTGAGGATGTGCCATGCCATGGTGACAAGGGACCCACCTAACATTAGGATCTGAGGTCCATAAGCTCATTAACTCTATTTGGAATAAAGAAGAATTGCCTGATCAGTGGAAGGAATCTATTATTGTGCCAGTTCACAAGAAGGGCGATAAAACTGACTGTAATAATTATAGAGGGATATCATTGGTATCAACTTCATACAAAACTTTATCTATTATTCTACTCTCAAGGTTAAGTCCATATATAGATTAAATTACTGGGTATCATCATTGTGGGTTTCAACATAACAGATCAACTACTGATCAATTCTATTGCATTCATCAGATACTGGAGAAAACATGAGAGTACAATGAGGTAGTACAGCAGCCATTTGTACACTTCAAGAAAGCCTGTCATTCAGTTAGGAAGTAAGTACTGTACAATATTCTGATAGAGTTTGGGCCACCCATGAAAGTAGTTAGGCTGATTAAAATGTGTTTAAATGAAATGTGTAGTTAAGTCCATATAGGTAAACATTTGTCCAATAATTTTCCTATCTAGAATGATTTAAAATAAGAAGATAATTTATTGCCACTCCTTTTCAACTTTGCTTTAGAATATGCCATTAGGAAGGCCAGGAAAACCATGTGGGGATGAAATTAAATGGGACACATCAGCTGTTGGTCCATGCTGATGATGTGAATCTACTGGGTGATAGCATAGATACCACAGAAAAAAACAGATATTTTAATTGATGCTAGTCTGGTCTGGAAGAAAACACAAAGAAGACTAAGCATATGTTGCTGTCTCTTCACTCGAATGCAGGGCAAAATCATGACATAAACTAGGTAACAGACGAAGAAAGCAGCGCCGTGTAGACATTGAATTAACCGACGTTTTGGAGGAATGTATCGCCTCCATCTTAAGGGTAGAGGACAAGAAGAAATCCTCGAGCAAACCAGAATGAGCAGGTGCAACAGACTGAGTCCAGTTGAGTAAACCCAGCTGTATAAGAGCAGAAAGAAAAGGGAGAGGGGCTACATGGGGAATCGTTAGATAACGGGGAGGGGAAGGGTCTGGGGAGGTAGGCCAGCAGTTAGCAGGCCAGAGCAGGTATAGAGTATGTCAGGGGGAGAGAAGGCAAGGTTAAATGGAGGGCATTAACCCTGAAGCTTGGGGGTTGCGAAGCAAGTCGGGCACGGACCTGCATGGCCTTGTGGATCTGGCATCAAGTCCTGGAGGTTTCTTGAGAGAACAGATGAGAGGCTTCCATGACTTGCTGAGCCAAAAAACCAACTCCCTGTTCATATTGTCGGGAAGGAGTTCAATTTCAACGGCCTCCCTAATGATGCGATCCATATATCGGGTCTTGGTGGCGAGGATGGAGGTATTCTGGAGCTGAATGTGGTGTCCTAAATCGATGCTTTGTTCAGCCACAGCTGACTTGTCCGGATGTTCGAGACAGATGTGCCAATGATGCTCCTTCAACTTCGTGTCCACAGAACGGCCCGTCTGCCCAATATAAACCTTGCCGCACTAGAAGGGGATTCTGTATACACCCAGTGTCCTAGTCCCAGGCTATCTTTGACCAGACGTAGGAAACTAGATAATTTCTTTGAAGGCAGGAGCACTGATTTGATGTTGTGCCAGGACAGCACTCTGCTCTGATACAGTTGAATACAGTCCCGACATAGGGCAGGAAGGTAACTGAGTCCAGTTTATCATCAGGCCAACTGATGATCGGACAACGGTTGAGAACTCTGTGGATCTGCTGGTTGTTGTATCCATTCTGCGTGAAAATGTCCCCCAGGAGCACCAACTCTGCATGTAGGCAGTCTTGATCACATAGAGCCCTAGCCATGTGCACCAATGCGGAAAGTACAGCTTGCTTGTCGGAAGGGTGGTGGTGGGACGCAGCGTTAAGGTAGAGGTTTGTATGGGTGAATTTGCGGTACACTCTATGGCCCACAGAACCATTGGGTCTCCTGTAAATATCTATACCCAGGAAGGGGAGGTGGCCCTAACTTTTGGTCTCCATTGTGAACTGAATGCACTGGTGATTACTATTTAGGTGGTGCAGGAAGTCCTTAAGCTTGTCGGGCCCGTGTGGCCAGATGACGAAGGTGTCGTCCATGTAGCAAAACCAGCAGCGGGGCTTATGTGTAGAGGCTTCCATGAAGTGCTGAAACAAGCCTCTCATCTGTTCCCTCAAGAAATCTCCAGGACATGACGCCAGATCCACAAGTTCACTCAGGTCCATGTCCAACTCGCTTCACAACCCCCCAAGCTTCAGGATTAATGCCCTTCATTTAACCTTGCCTTCCCCCCCCCCCCGACACATACTGTATACCTGCTCTGGCCTGCTACCTGCTGGCCCACCTCACCAGACCCTTCCCCTCTCCCCTCTCTAACGATTCCCCTCTCCCTTCTGTTCCTGCTATTATACAGCTGGGTTTACTCAACTGGACTCAGTCTTTTGCATGTGCTCACGCTGGTTTGCTCGCGGATTTCTTCTTGTCTTCTACCCTGAAGATGGAGGTGATACGTTCCTCCGAAACATGGGTTAACACAATATCTACATGGCACCTTTCAGTATAGCACAGAGTTCAGAAGTAGGAGGGGGAAAGGTTGACAAGTTGGAAAGGATCATGTGGCACATGACACAGGGGAATGAAGGGGGATAGGAAAGACATCATAACACAAATGAAGGAATGGCTAGAGGCCGCACTCTGGGAGATGAGAGAGAGTGTAAACAGCAGAGAAACTGAAACAAGAACAGCTCAGTAGCCTTATGCAGAAATTTTTGGGACCAAATGCTTTGAATATCTTTGACAAGAAAATATCTTAAATGGAAAACTCTTAAACTGATATCCAGTGCATTAAAATATAGTAAATACTATAATTTTACCTACTGTTTAATTTGGGACTGAAATTTTGATTCCTCATTTTGAGCGAAGAAAAGAAACTGCGTAGTGCACAGAAAAAGAAAGAATGTAGGGCTGGTCATGTTTCTCTATCAATTTGCTGGGTGCAAGTTCAGAACTTATGGAAGGATTCTGACGCAAATGTAATGTGCCTGTGGTTCTACATGAAGTAACCAATTGTGCGCACAGCCATATGAACAAAAAATGGCTCAATGCTTTTAACATCAAAACAAAATGCACAGGGACCAGTCTACATATACAGGAGACTGTTTAACAAAATGTTTTAAGAGGTTTTTAAATAGTGATCCAGATGGTGAATTGTAATGACTGAAAGTGTACACGCACACACAATGCAAGTCAAACACACTTACATAAGTGATTAACAAGTTAAGAAACATATTGATAATTTTAGCCGAAATACATCTCTAGTACACAAGATTTACAATTTCATTTTAGTAATTGAGATGTACACATGTTTCAGACCACTCTTTATATCCCCAGCCTGGGTTATATCTCTCTGTGGTGACCATCTTGTATACTTTCTTCCTCTTTTCCTTTACTTTTCTGTCCAGTCTGGTACATCTTACATTAAAGTTAGCAGTACATCAACTTTTATTTTGGTCTCAGTCTTCAGATGGTCAAGACAAATTACTTAAATCTAAATTTTGTTCACACCTCTTTATTCTAAATTCCTTTCATCATAATGTTAAGCAACTGACTGCTGTTGGCATTCCTGTTTTGTAATTCTATATACCTGATCTAAGAATTTTATTTCTGTAAATGTATAATTTTCTACACATACTGCATGTATACAGTGTGTAAATATTGTGAATCTTGCTCATAATTCATCACAAAAAGGTTATATGTGGTGATCTGTTGTAACTATAGGAAAAAAATGGTGTGTGAAGAGTTCTATCTTCTGGGATACAACAATGGGTAGTTCATTAGAACTTAAAGCTTTGTTTGCTGCCAGCTTCATGCAGGTTTCTTGCTTGACATGATTTTGACCCTAGAGATGGAGGCGACATGTTCCTCCAAAACATAGTGGACTTTCGTGGACCACATGGCTTCATATCCCAGAACAATGTGCAAGAATCCACTGGAGTGGTTTGCATGGTTTGCATGGAATATATGAAATTTTAGCATAAGGCTGAATGTGATTAGAAACACAGAATATTTAAGTCAAAGAGCCATAAACTAGCAGCAAAATAATAGAAGTATGGAACAAGAAGTTTTGTAATTTGTAGTCTTCATCTAGAATAATCATGCAATAATTAAACCACAAAGGTTAAGAATATCTGTAAATAAAACATGAACCTGTAAAATGGGAAATGTTTGGAATACTCCTTGGAAGACCAAGTACAGCAAAGAGGATAATGTTAAAATAGATCTTAAACAACAAATAAAAAAATGTTAGTACACTTGTACCATACTACATGCCATCACATCTCAAAAGGCTATAGTCTTCATAATAACTGCCACACAAACCTCAAAGCTCGCAACAGCTAACTGGTTTCTTCAAATGTTTTATGTTTACTGTAGAGTAACACAAATATTATGCTCTACTTACACCATCAGCCATCATGAAATGAACTCCTAAGTTGTGCGTGTGATCCATTACAAACTTAGAGAACACTGATATGTTATCAGGATTGAAGATGTCTCCATCTCCATCCATTCCTTTACAGCCTGTAAGTAACGCAGAAACTTCAGAAACAAAGTAAAAATCTTACATGTAGTTCACACACCACCTTTCCCTGAACTTAATCTAAGATTACATTAATAAATGAAATATTTGATTCATTAACAGCCCTAGAACAGAATGAGACAAATATTATTATGAATGATGAACAAGGAAGAATCTGAAAGCAGTCATGGCCTATTTAAAGTTATGAGAAACTAGGAAACAGGAAAAAGACCTCCCATCAGGAGCCAGCATTCCAGGTAATTCTGAAAATAAACTGTGGACATTATGCAGAATATTAAGTATGCCCACTCATATAATATTATTACTTCACTATCCATAGTTTAACCCATGTTTCTAATACTTTTATGGAACAAATATTGAAACATGTTTGCAATGAATGTTTTGGCTCAAGATCAATGCGTAATTCTATAACATGATGATAAGTCCTACATGCATTCAAAAACATTCTGATGAGTATGGTACTGACGAAAGGTCTGATTGATAACACTCTTTTGTCTTCAGTCTGAATTCCATTACTCTTTGAATAATGAATATGGGCCAACAAGTTTTCATAATTAGGATGCAGCCTGGATTCAAGAATTGGGGAGTGATTCCTAGCGGGGGTAAGAAAGTTTACTCTGTTCTCCACAGCGTCCAGACTACCTCCTATCCAATGGGTACCAGGGGAAGTGGAATTGGAGTGGCTAGAGCATGGAGCTGACCACTCACCTCCATGTCGTGCCAAGGTTAAATATGGATGGAGTTATGCCTCCACTCTTACATATATTCATAGCACAGTGCTCAATTAGGAACAAGGATATTACTTTTATTTTACTTTACACAGAAATGAAACCTACAGAAACTGCACTCAGAGTAAAAATAAAGTTATCCCTATGCTCAATTAATTAAGCATTATGCCATGGAGATATATGACGGAGTGGATGTATAGATCGACGTATTGACCTCGGCACTAATCAGAGGTGAGCGATCAGCTTTATGCCCTGGCCGCGTTATCCCTTGGGGAAAGAAACCCTGGTACCCATTGGATTGGAGGCAGAGTGGGCCACAGTCAGTCTGGATGCCATGGAGAAGATAAAAATATCTTCCCCCAGGCCAGGAACTGAGCCACAATTCTTTTGGCAGTCCAACCCATAAAACATCACTATAGCAACTGAGCTATTCCAGATCTTGCTGCATTCAAAGGTTTTCTCCATTACCTACAAGAACAAGTTTCCAGTCATGTGTATCACAGCCTGTCAAAACAAAATGGATCATGGGCTCGGATTGACAAAAAGAAACAATCCAAGAAGAATGTGCTAACAGCACAAAGCATTCACAACATTTCTACATGGTTAGAGGGCAGTCCATGCAAACTGTCAAGATGTCTGGCACAACAAACTGTTTCAATGAGACATGCATTCACAGCCACGAAAGTAATTAAATTGTGGCCATATAAAATAGCATACAAGTATGAGCTTAAGGAACCAATTACACTAGTTACTATGAAAGAGGGGCCATGCAGTAGCGTAATTGATCGAGGCACTATGCTACAAGCCAGAAGGTCACAGGTTCAGGTCTCGATGAGGTCACTGGATTTTTTCAATTGACCTAATCCTTCTGGCCACACTATAGCCCTGGGGTCAACTCAGTCTCTAACAGAAATGAGTACAAGTACAGTTGTCAACACTGTGATACACGGTGTTCAGAAATGAAGTGTAGTGTGGAGCAGAAATTATTTATATACACTATCTTTATACAACATTCTGTATCAAGGAAATGCAATAGAAAGTTCCATAGGCACTATCCTGATAGGACAGTGCCATGTAAAGCAATGATTTAAAATATTGTAACAAAATTATGTTTATGGCATGGGTGCTCAATAAAAAAAGAAATTCAAACGGTAAATCCTGGATGTTATGTGAGATTGATTCCATCACCCTTCTTCAGTGAAATGACTGATGAAAAACTGTACGAGCATTTTATGCTAGATAATGTAACAGCACACACGGCAAAAATTCTATAAATGAATCAGATGATGTCTTTCGCAAAGAAGTCATGAGTCGAGGACGAGGACTGTTGTCTCCATGATCACGTGTTAAATTCTTATGACTTTTATCTGTGGAGCATGCTGAAAGAAAAGAATATATGCAAACAATCCATACTCTTTGGAAGAACTTCAAGAAAATATTAGGCATGCATTTCCATTCTTCCTGTACAGCAGCTCTGATGTCTGTCTAGAAGCATGTTCTCACAATGTGAGATATGCTTGGAAGGAGAGGGTCATTACTTTGAGACTCTTCTATAAAATAAGTTAAACTACAGTGAAAATGCAGGCAATGAATTATCGGCTACTGCGGCAGGTCTGTGTGAGAAGAATGCCATGTCAGCTGTGGCAACCAGCTTAAGGATAACCTACTCTCCCTTAAAAGACTAAATGCCTTCACATGCCAAAAGACAGTATTCTTCAAAGTCACTACCATGAGAAAGTCAAATCTCACAAGAATTAAATTTATGGGGATTCAGTTCTTATGAACATGCATATGATGACAGCATTACTAATATTACTAGCCAACTTTTTCTTTAACTGAGATTTTTCTTAAGTAGAGGTATTTTCCTTGGTTTAAGAACCTTGATGTACTGCCTATATTTTAGGTAACCATAATCTTTTCAGTACTTTCCTTCCTTTCTGTGTATGTGCACATGCCCACATTTACAGTTACACTATATTTTAATATTTATTATCACCACCACCATTATGGTTGTGTGCGCACGTGCACAGACAACAGAACAACCAGCCATTCTCATATTTGAACAAATTCATATTCTGGCTTAAATGTGGCTTGAAACGTCAAACTTTTCATTTACATTCTCCTTCATTTAGAATGTGTTTGATACTGCTCCCACAAAAGATATCTAGCAAGACATTTAATACTGACCATAGTGGGGCTCAAAGGTCTCACAAGGACCAGCATAGAAATCTTGTAAGCGGAAATCATTCTTTCCTTTCAGAGTGAATCCAAATCCCTTTGCCTTCCAGGATCGGCGCCATAAAACATACTCTGAGAAGCCACCTGGGCCTGCACATACGTCTGCAAAGTACAGTAAGTCATGGGGACCTACTATTTCTTCCTGTAATATTAAGAATTAACTGTAACAAAGTAAATAACATTTGTATTTACTTCAACATAAGCAGGTATAAGTATACAGCTTCAGTTCTGAAATATCACAATTCAATCCACTCAGTAGAATACAGGATGTTTTCCTGTAGAAAGGTTTTATTCATGTCCATCAAACTCTACTGAAATATGTATGATGTTTTCTTCAAAACTTTTTGCTTTAAAAATCAGAGCACAGGTTGTATTCATGGATCTCCTTTCACTCTACCTACAGCCATTATCAGTTGAAATTTTCAACTTCTGAATATTTGAAATGCCCTGGATAATCCTGGCTTGTAGGCCAGCAATCCAAACTGGGATTGTTCATAGATTTCCTCATTTTCGCCAGGCTAATGACCAGAGCAGTACCTTAAATAGGCCATGACTCATTTCATGTTTTTTTTCCATTTTCTTCTTAATAATTATCCTGTCATTCAACACTGTCTAACATACGCAACCAACAGAGCGTTGGTATATGAACTAAACATAAACAAATTATAAAGCAGTGATTATAAATCATCTTGACAAAGCTACACACCTCAGTTGATTTTACGTAATCATTCACCATACTCGTATATGGTGTTCCTTTGTTGTTACTGAAATGTTTTAAGTAAATAACAGATATGAGCTAAAATGTGTCAGTAGTGGAGCAATAATAATTATTGATCCACTACTGACACATTTTACATCATATTATAATATGATGTAAAATGTATGTAAAGCATTCACTGTTTGTGTGGTGTATTATATTGTTCCAAAAAATTATACAATTTAGGTTTCAACATCATTTACATTATTAGTGGAAAGCAGACCTTGGGTGCTGAGATTACAAAGAAACCCCATGACAGCAGTGTTAGCAGCAATTTATTACAGGTCATGTTCCATCCCACTCTTATAAAAGTGGATTCCAACTCAGGTGTCACTTACTTTTGGGGCCTGTAGATGTTACAGAAGTAATACAAATATGTATTAACCTATTTAAATGGGAGGGAAGGGGGACAGAGATACATAAATATTTTAATCCTGCAGCAGCCAAGAAAATTGGAGGAAGCACTGACTGTAAGCTGACCTAATATTGGATTTGGAGACTTAGAACTGGATTACGGTTCTAAGGAGAAAATGACATAAAAACAAACTTTCCTAAAGTGCATGTGTGCATGCACATATTGTGTATATATAAACATTTTATAGTGAAACATTCTGGTACCCTGTCAGCAGAAATTTTATGTCACTGGTGAACAAGGGTAAATAAATAATGCCTGGCAATTGAAAACCAAAGTTCCCAGAAATAGGCCTGTCTCAACACCAATNAATTCTCCCCTTCACGAGAGGGTACATGGGACCACGTGACTGACGTCAGGATACTGCATAGTGGGGATGGAATCCGTCAAGGGAAACATGATGACATCATACGTGAGCGAGCTAAAGCTTGGAACGGCTCACTTTATTTGAAAGGATATGGTACTTAAGCTTGACAGTAATGACCTCTTGCAGTAACTTGCAGAATAATGGTATACTCACATTGTGTTCATCTTTTGGGTTTGTGAACATGAAATCAAAAACTCTGTCCATATTAGCCATTTTCATGGCAGCTCGATTCAGAAAGAATCCACCTCTGATTGTTTCAAATGGATTTGATCTTGTTCTAGCTTTTCGCATTTCTTCTGGATCCAGTTTATCAAAAACATTCTGTAACAGACATACTTACATATACAAATGAAAACACATTATATCACACACATGCACATGGAATTTCTAAAAGAAATATTTTATTTTGGAATGTTCAATATTGAATATACAAAATATATAGTAAGAAGAAAGCAGTCTTCTGGGATTTGGCACCATGTATAAGTGGTGTTAACACCACTTATACATGGTGCCAAATCCCAGAAGACTGCTTTCTTCTTACTATATATTTTGTATATTCAATATTGAACATTCCAAAATAAAATATTTCTTTTAGAAATTCCATGTGCATGTGTGTGATATAATGTGTTTTCATTTGTATATGTAAGTATGTCTGTTACAGAATGTTTTTGATAAACTGGATCCAGAAGAAATGCGAAAAGCTAGAACAAGATCAAATCCATTTGAAACAATCAGAGGTGGATTCTTTCTGAATCGAGCTGCCATGAAAATGGCTAATATGGACAGAGTTTTTGATTTCATGTTCACAAACCCAAAAGATGAACACAATGTGAGTATACCATTATTCTGCAAGTTACTGCAAGAGGTCATTACTGTCAAGCTTAAGTACCATATCCTTTCAAATNGTTAACACCACTTATACATGGTGCCAAATCCCAGAAGCCTGCTTTCTTCATAGTCACCGCCGTGAAAGCCTCAAATCTTACAAAATATATAGTAACTCAATTTCCAGCATTTACAACAAGATATCCTAAGGTCCCATCACTGGCATCACTTCCACAAGTTGTTGAATTTGTAATGTTTATCCACAATTGATAAAAATGTATGTATACATAACTACACACAAACATCAGTCAATATAATGAATGTTATACTCAAAACAGAATCAATGAAAGGAAACCTAGAAACATACTGTACATTATTTTAACTGTTGTATCCCCAAATGTCATTTAATAAATCAAGTGACAGGCCAAGCATAAATAAGTACCTCAAAAAAAGTAACAAATATTAACATTAACAGTATCACAAGAAGAGTTACAGTCACCTAATAACTATAAAACCATATTACTGGAAACTATATACTAATATATGTACTAACACTCTTCAGGCATTCTTTTGCATGGGCCATTATACCAGCCCTGAATGACAAATGGGAGAGAAAACAGGGCATTTCTTGGAACCTTAAAGGGGGAACAGGCACACAGTACCTGGAGGAAACCTGTCCCTAACCATGTAGTCCGCCACAAATACAACAAAAACTGTCCTTGGCCTCTATCGAAACAGTCCAACATTTAGCCACCTGAGCTAAACATGGTTCATTTAAGAATTTAACACAAAATAAATACTGAATATGGATAGGTGTACCGAATGTTTAAATATTCAAACAATACTAGCACCCTTTACTTACCTTAGAACTAAGAACATTCCTAAGTAAATTAGGATCACAGAATTTTGTTTCATCATCAATCCTCATTTTTTTGCTTCCTTCCTTAATCCACCCATTAAGTATATCTCTTGTGAATATTTCATGTACCTTGTTCTCCAGCCATGAGACAGATTCCTCAACTGATATCACCTATTACATAAGACCATACTTAGAAATTAAACTCAGTAATTTACATACAGCTCCTAAAACACTTTTAAACAAAAACATTAGATCTGATCCCTAACAGATCTATCCTCATTACAAATGATCAAGAAGATACTCCATGTACTCAGAAACATATTCAGCCCAGTTCCTTCAAAAGAATAACTACAACACCTAAGAAGAAGCATCTTCTCAACGGAACATCAGGATCATCTGAAACAATGCCCCATTGCCACCACACCATAAACTAAATACATGCATTTTAATAACACCTTACAAATATAAACATGCCAAATCTTTTCACCTTAACTTTATATTGTATAAATTCTGCCAATGTTTCTTTTACCCAAGGAAAATTCCCATGCCTTTTCATAACTTATTTTCATCTAAAACTATTTTAGTTTGGCCATTTTTAATTTTTAAATTTATACGCACATGTTATTATGTCAGATCTGACCTAATTAACTAAAAAGTTTTCAAATAATTGTGTGAGGAAAGAAGCTCCATTTTTATTTTTATACACTTTCTGTTTTCTGGTAATACTTATTCATCATGTACTGATCACCAGATCACTATTTTACTCTACCAAAACATGAGTAGGTAATAATGAGCAATTCTGTATTTAAGCATCCTGTTGAAAGACATATTAAAACGTTTATGTATAACACAGTTTGTCAATAATGCAACAAATTATTCCTTTTTCTTCCACTTACACTTTTAACACATCATATTTTGGCCCTAGATGGCCATCTTCAGGTGTCTTAATATATTAAAACTGCTATACTGCATTAATATGCGCTAAAATCACACACTGTAGTCCACTTAATATAATATAATAAAATAAAATAAACTGCATTAAAATTTTCTATTAAAATTTAAGATTATTTTATTTTCTTATATTATGTGGACTACAACGTGTGATTTTAGCGCATATTAATGCAGTGTAGCAGTGTTAATATATTAATACATCTGAAGATGGCCATCTAGGGCCAAAACATGTTGTGTTAAAAGTGTTAAGTGGAAGAAAAAGGAACAATTTGTTGCATTATTGATGGACTGTGTTATACATAGACATTTTAATAATGAGCAATAGTGAAATACTGAACATTTATCTGAATTCATTATTACCTGCAATCAAACTGGCATTTTTTGTGTGCATGTGTCTATGTGTGTGCAGGTCTGCATGTGTGCATTCATGCACATGTGTTTTACATTGGAAGTCCCTCTTTTTAACTACTATCAATAATTTGCTTCAATGTTAGCATCCTACCATCCCTGACATCTCTTCTGCATTTCCTTTATATTCTGTGAAACCTTCCCCTTGTTCATCACTAACACTATTGAGGTTTTACAGAAAATAATCAAAATGTGACTGTAATAAAGAATCCTCAAACTTACATCACAGATTAACTTCTGAAATTCACCAAGCATGTTTTTGACAATACTTTCATCATTTGGTTAGGAACATTTGAAGGTAACTCATGCTTCTCTTTTAACTTTTCTCACTGTTCCTTAAAGCTCTTCATTAGAAGTCAAATTTCAATATAAAGCCCAATGAGAACTCCTTGAAATTTTTCACACATGAGCACTGTGAATTTGTTGACACAGTTACCATGCTTATCCAGTGGCATCTCAATTGTTTCATCAAGCCCAGTTCTATATGCAGTGGAGGTAACAGCACTTACTTTGGGTCAACCAAACTTTCGCATGTTTTCTTTAACCTGGCATCAGACTAAGGCTTGGGGGGGGGGGCACTGCTTCTTCATCCAGTGCAGACTTCATGCTCTGTTCTCCCATTATGACAGCTACTGAAAAACATCTTGTAACTTGCTGACAAGAAGGAAACCAGTGCTGCAGGAAATATTTTCTTATGCACATCTGTCTAGGAAATTCAATCAAAGGATGAATCTTATATGGGTGGTGGCAGAGCTTAAGAAGGTAGTTACCAACTTAAAGTCTAAGGAACAGAGATAATCAAATAATTCATTCCTGCCCTAACACTGAACTCTCCTATTCCAGGAGGTGACTACACAGGGTTCAAACTGCATCAAGTAAGCATGCCATGACTACTTCAGGGTGGTGGGGTAAAGGCAGGTGGAGGTACAAGTGATGATCCTCTTGGGCTCCAAGTTAGATTTCAGCCCCACAGTGGTGCACAAAAGTAAATGTTGGCATTGGTATAATCTGGTCCCTGTCAAATTGAATCACTAGCAGCACAGTATTCACCAGCATAAAAGTAGAACATGACCATATGAAAATAATCTGTACACAATGGACACAAATTAATATCATTCCTGGATACTACAGAACAAGAATAATTCTGATCTCCTGAACATTGCAAAGCCATTGAATGCAACATGAATCACATTATTTTTCTCTTGTCAACAGTGATTGGCAATAATGTGATCTGTAAAAAAGGGAACTGAAAGATAAATAGCACAATTTTGTATAACAAAAATTACACAATTGTACCCATGTTATAAACAAACACTGAACTCCTAACTGCACAGTCAGTGGTTCAACAATGTTATAAAAATTTATTAATTACATATTGTAAAAATATTCAGATATTTCAATATATTTTTCTCAGTACAGGAAAAGAACAGGAAATCACTTGTTTTCCAAACCAAATATTGTAGTGCACATTTGAAGTCAGAAAGAACGTAAATTCTGTTTCACAGCCAACCATCACATTGCTTTGAATGTCAAGCTCAGAGCTTATCACCAAATGGCTGTTTGCAGATAAGTAGGTTCCACAATGTACAAAACAATTCATTTTAAGTCTATCCAGTGTTATCGAATATCATAAATTTGAAATGGCATTCAGTAGCCAATGGTTGCCTAGTCTTTTATTTGAACACGAAAGAAACCTCAAATTACATATCAGGAGCTGTTTACAATATTATATTTAAGCATCCTGTTGCACTTTATACGATATATGATATAACTCTGTCCTAAGTACAAACTATATTTATAGGTCTTTCATTTTGTTCCTCTCTATACACTACATGTTTTGGCCCCAAACGGCCATCATCAGGTGTATACACTCACGTATCTGTTACACTGCACTTATTTATGACATTTAAAATTTAAAAACATAGGTCTTCCTGATTAGCACTTATAAAATCTTCGGTTCTAATTTGAAATCCTTTAAAAGTTTTTTCTCTAAACTTTAAATTTTAAAAATGTCAGGGTTACTTGCCCTATGTCTATAGTGCTGCAGCGGCTTCTTCTTGTTTCTAGTATTGTATAGGTGTTATTCTGTGTAGTCTTCTTGTGTGCGTGCTGCTGCTTATGCACACGTAGTAAAGATAAGCAGCGGCACGCACACAAGAAGACTACACAGAATAACACCTATACAATACTAGAAACAAGAAGAAGCCGCTGCAGCACTATAGACATAGGGCAAGTAACCCTGACATTTTTAAAATTTAAAGTTTAGAGAAAAAACTTTTAAAGGATTTCAAATTAGAACCGAAGATTTTATAAGTGCTAATCAGGAAGACCTATGTTTTTAAATTTTAAATGTCATAAATAAGTGCAGTGTAACAGATACGTGAGTGAATACACCTGATGATGGCCGTTTGGGGCCGAAACATGTAGTGTATAGAGAGGAACAAAACGAAAGACCTATAAATATAGTTTGCACTTAGGATGGCGTTATATAATATACAGATATCAGGAGATTATTAAGTAATTCAGTTAAGATTACAGTTTTCATCATGGATGCTGGAATTTGCAGTTTCTCAACTACTTCTTGACTGTCAACAAAACAGGGTGTCAAGCCCCTCATGTAATTCCAATTTTAATAAATTCTATACTTCTAAGACTTTACATCAGCTGAAATAACAGATTGTGATCATTAAATCATATTTAATGTGGAACTATATAAATTGTTCACATTCACTATCACAAAGCATTACGATGGTTTACAGAGCTTTTATATCAGCCAGATGATCCGGGACAGCGTACTCAGTATAGCAAGTGGCTATAGGCTGGGTGAACAAGGGAGTGGAGTTTGAGTCCTGGTAGGGTCAAGAATTTTTTCTTCTCCACATCTTCCAGACCAGCTCCGGGGTCCACCCAACCACCTATCCAATGGGTACTGGAGGTTTTTCGCCAGGGGTAAAGTGGCCAGGGCATGANACAAGGGGGTGCAGTTTGAGTCCTGGTAGGGTCAAGAATGTTTTCTTCTCCACATCTTCGAGACCAGCTCTGGGGTCCACAAAACCACCTATCCAATGGGTACTGGAGGTTTTTTCGCCAGGGGTAAAGTGGCTGGGGCATGAAGCTGACCGCACACCTCCAATTAGTGCCGAGGTCAAGAAAATGTGGATCTGTACATTCACTCCCCCATATGCCTTCATGGCATAGTGCTTAATTAGTTAAGCACAGGAGCAACTTTATTCTCATATCAACCAGTGTAATATTATGATAAAATTAAGTAAATTTAAACAAATCAGTGAAATGTTACAATGATTTTAACAGTGCTTCCATGTACTTTAAATCTTTTCAGTCCAATCATCTTAACTGTATTACCTCCAAACAATATTATGCAATGCAACATTTCTTAATTTCTTATCCATCCAGCATGTCATTCCATAAGAGTGGTACTGTAATGCCAGATGCCACGCAGAGATATGAGATGATATAGCAGTAGATATCACCACCAGACTTGACAGTCATCATTTTATAAACATGATAAGAAAGATAACTACATTAACTGGAAATAATTATTTACATAAAGAACATTAATATAACACCAAAAAAATATTTAAATGATGGTCTTACCTGTAACTACAATCAAAAGTATGTATATTACCTGAATACTTCAAATAAACTATTTTGTCTGGACAAATACAGTATATCATTACTGATATACAGTCTAATATACATTATTACTAATAAGGTAAGACGCTGAATGTTATAACTATCATTTTTGTGGGTGACTGATTACTTACCTCAAGACTACTATCCCACTGGAGGGTGGCAGCTTCTAACCCTTTTATGTGTAAACCCAAACCTCGTCTGCCACGCTGATGAGACATCTCCACTGGAGCTACTCTACCTTGGCCATGCTTCCCCAAGCCATGCCCTTCTCTGTAGCCCATTCTTTCCTGTAAGAATCAACACAGATTTAGACAGACTTGTTTAACTACTTTGTTGGTTCATGTATGACGGCCATGTCCCTTTAACTGGCAGCCACCCACCCATATAACTAGGCTTCTAATATATTCACATAACAAAACATTATTTCTCAAAAGTTATATGACATAATCAATAAAATATTTCACAATAAATGTGTTAAAATATGACAGAAAATGTTTAAGAGGCTGCAGATTGTAAAAATTAAACTTTCCTAGGCTTAAGTACTTAAACTTTATTTAAATTAAATTACACATTTTGTAATGTTATAGAAAAATAAATTATACGGTCACAATTTTTAGAGTTGTTTTCATTGTTTTGCACAGTAAGGTGTTTTTAACTTAAAAAATATCAACAATACAGGCCCACAGACATTTATTCTTTGCTCACAGTTTGGTTTTCATTAGACTAATTTGGAATGCATAATAGAATCCTCCTTGAGAGAATAAATATCTGATTAAGATGTTGTGGAACACCAAGATACCCCAGAAAACATCTCCTGCATCAACTGCAGTTATTTAGGCTCCTAGTATACAGACACTTCAACAAATACAGCCTCATCTACCGACTGTCTGTTTGCAAAATTTCTCCACAAACCCAGATATCAAACATATCCTATACATACCCTGCTACCTGATCACTGTTTCTCTTTACCATCAAGATACCTTCAGACTTCAGCATGCATGAATTCAACCACATGACAGGATAAAGAATATAATCGTAACCTGTTTATGCAATGCAGAGCAGAAACATCCTTTACAATGAACAAACTGTAATTCTTATTGGGAAGAAAATCATTATGAGGGTGGTTCAAGGTTGATCTGGATGTCATTCTTTTACATGAAGAATATACACGCCCAAATCACAAAACTCTCACTTCTGTTCAAGATATTCTTCCTCTACACTAACACATTTTTTTCCATTATCCTTGAAAGTTGCTGATGCCAATAGCACAAAATGATTGAGCAGCTACTTCAGGAAAGTGTTTGATTTCATTATCAGTTTGAAATTTCTGTCATCCTAGGTGCACCTTCTTTCGTTCAAGCAAATGAAAATCACTGCAGGCTAAATCAGGGTTGTTGGGAGATCTGTTCATTATTTTCAAGTCCACTGTTTCTGGCGTTGCCTTCGTAAAATCTGCTGTATGTGGGTGAACACTGTCACACAGAAGGATGATCTTTCATAGTTTCCCGGATTTTTTCTTCTAAATCACTTAGTGCACATCATTGTGAAGCAACTTACTGTAAGACTGTGCATTAACTGTCACGCCATAGGGAAGAAAATCTATATGGATCACTCCTTCTTAATCCAAAAACACACTTGCCATGACCTTGTCAGCTGATAGCTGTGTTTTGAAATCTTGAAGACTTCTTGCTGGCCTTCGGAAAACTTATTATATAAATCACAGACATCTGCACATGACAGAATCTCTTTCCCATGTTGTGCATTTAATCTATGAACAATTTCTGCTGGTTTCACCTTTTCTTTCACTAAGACTATGATGTTACAGCACTGTTCTACATTAGGAGTGAGGTTTGATGCCATCTTATACTAGGTCTATGTGCACGTGTGCAGCATATAGCCAACTGCAAGTATATTACAGTCAGAGACAATTTCTGATTTCTTTGTAGTTTCACCTTTAGTGTCATCATTTCCTGAGCCCACCACCCAGAAAATGATGTGTTTTAAAGAAATCAATTTCTCAGCCCCCTCTGTCTTGTCACACCTTACAAGAACCTGGCCTTCCCTTATCACCACTGTGCCTCCTTTCTTTAGCCTCTACATTTTTTGTCTAAAATCTTTGGGGAATTTTTGTTTAACTGAAATGTACCACATGGAAAGTCTCTCACAAAGGACAGAACTCTTACCATAGTTATCCTAATATATTTGGCGTGTATTATTAAGTAAAGTGTCTTCAATAAGACTGACTACAAGATTCTTTATTGTTTTAATTTTCTACCATGTACATTTAGATTGCATATGTCTCCATTTCTATATACAAAAATTATAAATCTCTGTGCCATGCTTAATTGGCTGGTTTGCTGTGTACACATGTAACAGGAGTCTGCCTTTCTAGAAAAGCATCCCTTCATCAATTGAAATCTGCTTATTTCATGACACAGAAAGTAGAATTTTCTGACAAAAATTCAAAACAAATCTAAACCTTATAAACCGGAATGTCATAAGCATTAAAATGAGCTTCAATGTCTGTGAACTGTAAAAATTTGTAAATTTGCTTAAATCTGTATAGGGTATATATACAGTCTCCAATGACCTGTAACTTTCATAATATAACTGTCAATCACATTATATAATCTAAAAAAATTTACTTTTTTATTCACCTGAAAACATTAATACAAACTGATTTATGGTAAGATGCTTAAAATGTCCATATCTGGCAGATTTTTAAAAATGGACTGATCTACTAAAATAATTTACATAAAATATTTGTATTGTTACATTGCATAATATTTAATGAAATATATGCTGATGTGGTTTATATGTAATCATGCAAAGAGGATTCAGGATTATAACTAACATATACCTAACATATCTACTACTACTGCTGAAATGTTTATGAGTGTGTATAAGGAATGAACATTCATACAACAAATGGTCAACATTGGAAGTATCACTCCTTTTTTTATCATGTTGATAGAGTTGATAGTGTTTTTTGGTAGACTGATCTTTCAACATGCCTGCAATGGCCCTATTTCAGGGCAAATCTTCTAACAGGCAGTTCAGGACTGCATAGTTATAGTACTGTGGGACTTCAGATATGTCACTTTCTGATCACAGATCGCAGGGTTTGATTCCCTGCTGGATCTTCAATAAGAAAGATGACTAAATGTCCCTAAGGTAAGGGACCTATGCAGTGACCCTCTACAAAACTTCAAATTACTACTTCACTCTGAAGATGAAGGCAGCAGGTTCCTCCAAACACTGATAACTACCTACAATACAATTTCATATTTTCATTAGTGGTCTCTGGTTATAGAGTGCAGCACAGGATACAAATAACACATACAGTACATGATTTGAAGCTTCACAGTAACTACGAGGATGGACAAACAAATTTCAAGACACATTTTAAATTTTGCACCAGAGGATCAGGGGATACCTGGAATGTTGGGTGAAGTGACAAGACAGAGCTCACATGGAAAGTTTGGATAAGCTACATTTAGTATTCATTGAACAGCAGCCTGTTAGATCACTGTGTGCCACAAACTTTGTTCAGATGTGAAAATGGAGCATACAATGGAACAGACAATGAACGTGAAATTTTGTGTTAAACTGCAGAAATTGCCAAGTGTAATGTTAGAGATGTTAACTACAGTTTATGAATCCACTATGAGCAAGAGTAATGTTTTTAAGTGGCACAAAAGTTTCAGAGAAGGCAGAGAAGACGTGAAAGATGATAAAAAGGCAAGATGCTCCCACAATGAAGTGAATGGCCAAAAATGGAAAAATCACGGAACTTGCACAACCTGACTGTTGGTTAATTTGCAGGATGATAGTTGACGAACTTGACATGACCAAACAGACTGTTATGAAAATTTTAGTACAGGGTCTTGCCACAACCAAGGCTTCAGGGTCATACTACAGATGGAGTCAGACCTCCAAAAAGGCCAAGGGCCTATAGGAAGCCAGTGACCTATAAGGCGCCTCTCACCAGCATCAAGGATAGCCATCTTAAAGATAAGCTGATAGAGGACAAACAAGACCTTATCCTTGAATAAATGGTTTGGGGGTTCCATGAGACTCTGCAAGAACTGCCACACTTGAGGTCCTTCAAGCTGGAGGGAGGTACATTCGTGTATGTGTGTACTAACTAGCAGTCATTAGGGACAATTAATAGTACAAAGGCCAAGGCTGTCAAGAGTCCTGATTAGCTACTGAGAGATTAAGAACCTCAACTCAAGGCCTCATACTGAACATTGGAGAGTGCGGGATAGGCTGCCTGAGCTGAAAGACCAGAGGCTTATCCTTCTTACAGAACAGGATTCCTTCAAAAATCATCAAGGAGACTAGATATTCACAGAACTCATTGAGGGGACCACTAAGGTCATGAGTGATCCTTAAACAGGACCCAAATGTGAAGAAGGGGACTTAACAGGCTTGGCATCCTCATGATCTGTTGTTAACGAGGGAGGGACTGCAATGGCTACCCCCTCCAAGACTAAGATTACTGAAAGGAAGAAAGGGAGGCATGCTGGAGACACAGATCAGAGCACTGTCAAAAAAGTCATTTGAAATTTAAAGTCCACAGTTGTTAAATGCACATAGCTTATTGGGAGAAACAATTTTGGAAACCTCCTTGATTTCAAACTAAGCCAACGAGATGTTCGATGGATAGAACTTTTCCAGAGGTTGGATGTCTGAGATCTCTGTTCCAGGAGAGTTCAGTTCTGAGGAAACACTCAGGTTTTAACGTCTGACTAATTCAGACACAAAACCTGTGCTCCAAAGAACTTCTAAACGAAACTTATTAAACTCCCCTGCATATTAAATTACAATGTGATCACTGTGCAACTTTCAGCCACAATTTTAACTTGAAAACTGTACCATTTACCAGGAGGAGGTAAATAAGAGGGCTTAAGAAACCAACCCTCTTCAGCAAAACAACCCAGTTATCCACCTTGAACTAACTTTAAGACAAGGGGCCAATCTGGAAGAAGCAGCTGGGTAAGGTAATGAACAAGCCCTGCAGAATCTTTTGGACCTCTACAGGCACATTCTGAGGAGAACTTTGGACCGAGACCAAAGGTATTGCAATAGATATATACTACGACTCTACAGTCATACTAATACAGACCAATAATTATCCATGCTGTCACTGTGTGCTGGCCTAGGGTAAAATTCAAAAGGGATGAACTGAACAAACTTCCAACGGCTGGCTGACTTGCTTAAACATCACTGAAGCAATGATGGCTCTTACAGCTATAACTGAGATGCTCTTTGGCCCAAGCAGGACTCAAGAGGCTCTATTGTAATCAACAACAGAAACCCAAAAATATGGGTATGCATACATGTCTCAGGGCATGAAAGAAGAACCAGTCCTACAGAACTCATAAAATGACATGAAGACATGTCTAAGTCAAATCTTTCATAGTAAGATCCTTTGTCAGAAGTGAATGGAAAGAAGGGTTTCAACCCAATAGAAAACGAGGACTAATCTGTTATACAATGGGGCCAGACTGTATGATTAAGGTACACAGAAGAAGCTTAGCTATAACCTTGGACAAAACACCACAGTATTCAAGGAAGAAGTGTATGCCATCATGCCATGTGCAGTGAACTTAGATAATGGCTATAAGAACAGAAACATCTATATTCTATCTGCCAGTCAACCCATGACTGAATCACCTGACAACTATTAGATCAACTCAAAACTGGTCTGGGACTGCCACCAATCCCTTGCAATACTGGTTAAACATATCATAGTTCAAATGATACAGGTGCTAGGTCACAACAGTACTGAGGGTAATGAAACTGCCAATCAACTGGCAAGATTGGGATATGACCCAGCATACAACATCTCAGCAGGAGTTGCCATGAAGATTGTCAGGAAACGGACACACAGAGACAACAAAAATACTGGGTATCATTAATAGGACTCACACATGCAACAAGAACCCACTGCCAGAAGAAGTAAGGAATTAAGGAAACTAAATGGAAACCAGTCATGATGGGCCACAGGACAACAGGACTACATACAGGACACTGTTACCTGAAAGGACACATTTTTAAAGCGGGATTAACCAACAGTTCCACTTGTGAAAGGTGTCTGGAAAAAGATGGATCAGCCTCACATATTCAATGTGATTGTCGGGCTCTAGCTTAGTTACAGTTTCATCATTTGGGACACTACTTTATGGAACCAGTGACTTCCAAGATGACCCTTTAAGTAACAAACTACACGTTGTTTGGAATGAGGGTTGTTGAGAGTCTCAAGAGAGGGGTGGGTATGGGGGATGCATGACAGACGACTGATGGTTGTGGTGCAAGGACTGGTTAAGATCCACACCCCCTTTTATTTATTCATTCATTCGTTCAATTCATCTCCATATGGCTAATCGCCTGAGAAGACATCATCCAACTCAAATGACATTCTGAAAAACAATTGAAATACTTTTAGTAATGGTTCTGGGATTTATAATAATAAGCAATTGCTACAAAGAAGTTGCAATTGAGAGGTGTGTTCAAATGAAGATCTTCCATACAAAATTTGAAAAACAGGCAATGGGTGAATTTATGGTATGCATGGGAATACCTGTAAGTACTTAGTGGACTACTACATTAAAGTGAATTACTAAGGTAATGTAATAACACCCTTATATTTTTTAGATATTAGGCTATATGACATGACCACAAAATGATTAAAATTGTAAAATTTACTGTTATTTCAGTACCAACAAGTATTTTTGGGAATTTAAAGCCCCATTTCCTTCTAACCTCAGTTACTTACATTGATAATAAATCCTCTAGTGCTGACAGGTTAATTGAAAATGTTATAAATTAATGTTTCATGAGCTTAATGTTGTTTTAATAATTCTCTAACATTTGCCTGCTACTGACCATCATCTTCTGACCCTTGGGATCACAAAACCTTTCAGATTTGATGTGCTTCACCATGTTGTCCATCAAACTAGTCTCAGTCTCTTCATCACTCAACTGAAGGTCATCATCTGGCAGACTGTGGTCTGTGCTGCTCCGGTCTGAAATAAATATGATTAACATCATTATATTGTTTTTATAAAGAAAAGCATCTGCATAACAATGAAATTAGACTAGAACCCCATACAGTTTTCTTCAGAACACAAATCAATAGCAGATTACATTTTCCATTAAATATATCCTTTCATATATTCACAAACTAATTATGTCTATTTGCAACACAAAATAACTGCCACAGTAGTATAAGGAATCCAGTCTTGCACCGATATACAGAAAGGGTGATAGAACTGAACAGTATCTACATACAAAACTAAAACTGTATACATTTTCTCTCAAGATTAATAGTTCAGCTGTTCATAGGTTCCAAGGTAGCCTACGATTCAGTTAGGAGAGAATTACTGTAGTCATCCCAAGAGCATCATAAATTAATTGGAATAATTGACTGCTTGTGTTGAATTCTGTCTGGATTTTAAAAGGGGGTTACTGATATCTGTTCTATCAACTAATGGCTTTCAACAACCTCAGGAGCTGAACGACGACATGACTTATCACACTACAAGTGTTCCATTTTAGCAGTGCAATGTGAACCTCTGGAAATTATTAATTTGTTGCTCTTGGACACTCCCAAAACATGCAAGGTGACAGTTATGAGCAGTTATAATTGACATAATATGTATCACTAGATAATGAAACAAATTAAGTTTATGACGGACAGAACTGCTGGAAATCTCAAACTCAAAGATCTGTATGTTGGTCAATGAGCAATTAGTTCATCTAGACTGCTAAACAAAACTGCTTCTTCAAATAGGGGAACAGAAATGAGGAATTAATATCTTAGCCATGATGTCTTCACACTAAAGTAATTCAGTGAGATCATCTGCATGTACAAAATCACTCTTGAACGCAAACATTTATGCTCTACAATTCCAAATTTCGTATGTTGGAATTATATCTACTATAAGGTGGATGGCCGATTACAGTGGCTCCATGGTCTAAGGCAAGGGTCTCCAAACTACGGCCCGCGAAAGAATTGTGCAGAAATGCGCCAATTGAACTAATTTTCCAATGAGTACTGGTAAAAAAATACTTGTTCATAGATTTCAAATTCATTAATTAAGATTGTGTTTAAAACATATTGATATTCCATATTATGTTAATATT